AAATGTAGCAGGAGCATTTTTCAAACCGAAGGGCATACGTGTGTATTTCTAATGTCAATGGTCTACGTTAAATGCTGTTTTAGGGATACTTTTTGGGTCTATGGCTGGTAACTGAATCCAAAGTTGTGACAACGTCCTCATTCATCTGCTTATCGAAATGGAAAATGAGCATCAAATGAAAAAGTGTTGGCGCAATTGAGGTCAAGGGGACTTTCAACGCCACATGATCATTTTAAAAAACATTCTTTCAAAGTGACTATTGAAGGCTGCAAAGAGAGAAAATATCATACCTGGAGTCTGGAGCAGGAAGAAGAAAGCCCAATCATATTTTAAACGGAAATATTCACACTAGAACTGCGCTAGAAAACGTTCCAAAAGAGACCTGCGAAGAGCAAAGATCTTTCCAATTCCCACAGTCACGCAGTACTGAGAGTAGTTCGGTCACCAAGTCCAGACTGGTATGGGATTGCCAACAACTCCTTAATAGAGTCACCCTGCCTGAAGTCGAGGGGGATGAAATAGCGGTCCAACTTGCAAGGCAAGGAGCTGCAACCTTGGACCATACCCTTTCTTTGACATTAAGGAAAGCCATATAATAGGAGAAGTCCAGAATTGGCTAAAAAAGCCTTCCGCTAGAAAACGCTTTCAGGACTTAGACAGGCGAAACAAACAATTCATCTTGCCACTTGCCCCAGTCAATCAAGGTAAACGAAATGATTCACCTTAGTAAAGCGGATCACTGTCCTCTGGGTTACCATCTTAAAAAGAAGAAAACAGAATCAGGCTTCCGCTTCTGCGAAAAAGCCTCTGAGTTTGAGAAACATATACTTTGCATTGTGCCGCAGAAGGATCATCCATCTGGGAGCAGCTCTACTTAATGACTGTGAATGTGAAAGAAGCCAATCCCAGGAACATTATAGGCTTTGCCAAAAGCCCTTAATTTGCGAGCCCTCTAGACTAGATATAAAGGGAAGTACACTAGATCTAATCAGGTTTCAGTGCAGAGAAGTTCTTAGCGTAAACATCCTGTCTTGTATTTTAATAGTTGAATGAATACTTTCAATAGTTCAGTGCTTTTAATATGACGATTCCATTTTATTCAAAATTGACAAGACCATTTATTATTTTTAAAGGTAAGATCACCTTACACACCCCAACCATCACAATCTAAATACATTTGATTTTGAATTCCAATCTGCCACATCCAGACGGAGAAACATAGTTTATTTTGCTCTCGCAAGTTTGGAGGAAAAATCCTAACTTTGGTATTCACAAATAAAAATAAATTGGTCCAACTTTTGACAGCAGTTTTTCATTTTCCTTGAGAAATGGTGTACTTTTTCTTTGTTCTCTATTCCCTGGCTCACTATGTGAAATAACAAATCTCGAATACATATCCTATATATTACATAACCGGATGGAAAAATATGCCAACCTACTTATAGATAAAATTTAGTTTATCCATCCGCGTATTGTCTATTTACCTATTACGCAGCTAACCTTCCAATTTGTTTTTAGTAAAGATTAATTCTTTAAAAACAATTTCAAGTATCCCCTAACCCCAAATAAACACTTAACACATGATAAAAACTAGTATATATAAATGCTTTCCTAGCTCCATAAGATATAAACACTACAACAATGAAACTATTCATTATCACACTTTTGGCTACTGTAGCCACAATTCAGGCTTCGCCTTTAAATGCGAGCTGCACTGTTACCTCCTACTCCGGAGTAGCTGCAGCTCTACAAAGCTGCACCGCGTTGATACTGAAAGATATAACTGTCCCAGCTAAAACTACTCTGGCACTGAAATTGAAAAGTGGAGCTTCTTTGACGTTCGCTGGTACTATCCGTTTCGCTGTTGCTGCATGGGCAGGACCTCTGATTGAAATTAAAGGAGCCAAGGTTACGGTTAATGGTGCTGGAGCCACTTTGGATGGAGGCGGTAAGACAATTAGAACTAGATACAATTTAATAAATAAAAAATATTTTCAACTATTGAAGACATGAGTGGAAGTTGCACTGAACTTTAACAATAATGATATGGTTTGAAAAATATCTGCGTTCCTCTGGATACTCTCACAATAGTTTTTTTTTCTTCTAGGTCCAAAATACTGGGATGGAAAGGGCGACAACGGAACCGTAAAACCCAAATTTCTCAGAATAAAAACCACTGGTGGATCGACTGTCAAAAACATCAAACTTTTGAATTGTCCCAAGCAATGTGTCTCCATCAACAGTGCAAGCGACACAGTCTTGGACAATTTCAACATTGATGTTTCTGCAGGAGACAAAGGCGTAAGTTCATTTTTTTCATTATATTATCAATCATCAATTCTTTTAACCGATTATTGATTACAGGCTTTGGGTCACAACACTGACGGTTTCGACGTATCCAGCTCTTCAGGCATCACGGTCCAAAACAGTATAGTCAAGAACCAAGACGATTGCGTGGCCGTTAATCAAGGAAGCAACTTCATTTTCCGCAACTTGACTTGCTCTGGTGGTCACGGATTGAGTTTGTCCGTCGGTCAAAGTTCAGCAAGCGGTACCCCCAACACCGTTAAAAATGTAGTGTTTTCTGACTGTACCGTAATGAACTCAGATAACGGTATCCACGTCAAGACCCACTCAGATGCCGGTACCGGTTCCATTTCTGATATCACTTACAAAAATATCAAATTGTCTGGAATCAGAAAGTATGGCATCAACGTACAAGAGGACTACGAAAAAGGTCATTCCTCTGGAACAGCGAAAGGCAACATTCCAATAAGTAAATTAACCATGAACTCCATCACTGGTTCTATGACTGGCGCTAAGGGTATAAGTGTTTACGTACTTTGTGGAAGTGGAGGATGCAGTACCTGGTCTTGGTCTGGTGTTTCCATTAAAAATGGTAGCGGAAAGAAGAACTATTGTAACTTCCAACCCACTGGATTTCCTTGCTAGATGAATAAAAATGATAAAAAATATCATATGATTATTTTATTTACCTAATATTAAATTTATTTTATCTTTGCAATGCTGAGACTGAGTTGGTGTCCAACCTAAAACACTTCTGATTTTCGTCACCAATGCCGTAAAACTAGTAATTCAATTATAGATGGTTTCTGAAGTGTAGAAGAAACCTTTTTTGATCTGAGAATTTAGCAGTTCCCAAACATTAGATGAATAAATAAATTTTCTGTATGGCGGTTCTTGTAAAAAAAGATGTTCAAATTGGGCACAGTCGGTTGTTTTCTAAGAGAATAAAGTTGATCAATCATTTCTGATTGGAATCCTGAAACTTCCCAAAACAGTTATTATTGTGGGTCTTCTTTCAATCAAACTGTACTGGATTCTGCCTGATGAAGTATCCCTGAAGTTGTTGGTGATAATTTCTTAATTATGAAAAATCCAAAACTTCTCAGTAACAGTGACTCCTTTTTGTCGCATTTGTAGAGATTGTGGCCAAACTTTTGAGTCTTTAAGTCTAACTGTATATGTTTGTACTAGGTGGAATATAGGTTGGCGGCGTACTGTTTTTGACCTAGCAGGTACTCTCTATTCTCAAGTGCATAGAAAGTACCCGCTAGATAACAACCAGACGTTTACCAGTCAGTCCATAATTTGGCCCTTAGTCTGCATCGCTGCTAGTTTGGTACCGCACTGGTTTCGATATGTCATTTTCATCATTTGTCAAAGTCAATCCTTCTACTTTTTGTCATGTTTATGTCAACCTGTATTAGGCAATTCAATCCATCTGTCAGAAAGGAAAATTCAATATGGCGTGGCGGCCAAGCAAGTCTGTTTTGAATATGTTTTTATGCGTATTTTAAATTATTTCGCTTGGAATTTTGCTTGCAACTTTAATTTTGATTATTTAATAAACTATTTGTTGACTAGGTACCTAAACTATCAAATCTGGCAGAAATTAGATATTTTTTTGTGTTTTTTTGTCCATGTGTGGCCGCCACGCCATCTTGAATGTCACGTGGTTTGAATTGCCTAATTGTTTTCATGACAAGGCAAAATTTCCAAAAATCATTATTAGGAAAAACATGAAAAAATCAGTACTAAAAGACATCTAAGAATTTTGGAAAAAGCTTAAATGTTTTTGTCGTTGGTTATTGTTGAGCGCTCCTATAAGTTAGTTTGTCACTTTTTACCTGTGGTGTGTGTATTTTATTTTATTCATTTGGCATTTTACTCCAAAATCATGCCTCTTTTCTGTTACTTTGTCTCCACTATACGAACCTGACAAGTAAGTCTAGGATAAATAGAATCAATGTATGTATTTTTAAGACCAAAATGTTTTCAGGACCGACCCTGAGGATGGCACTTCAATAGGCCAAAAGCGCTCGGTTGATATTTTTAATAAAGAAATTTTACACCTTTACACAAAATCTGCCTTTCCTATCTTTGCAAATGTTAGTCAAAACAGGGCAACGCCAACCTATATTCCACCTCCAGTACAAACATATACAGCTATGCCTGATTTTGAATTCCAATTTGCAACATTTCCAGGTAGTGGGACATCTTTGAATTGTTAAAAGTTTGGAAGATTGGATCCAAGTCCAAAAGAAAAATACTTGAATCTTAGATTGAGGCGTTTCCAAACTGAGAAACGTAGTTTATTTTGCTCTGGCAAGTTTTAAGGAAAAATCCCAACTTTAGTATTTACCAATATGAATAAATTCGCTCAACTTTTGACAGCAGTTTTTCATTTTCCTTGAGAAATGGTGTACTTTACTTTTCCCTTGTCCTTTGTCCCCTGGCTCACAACTTTTCAAGTGTTGTACTATGGAAAATAACAAATCTTGAATACATTTCATATAATATATAACCATAAGGAAAAATATACCTACCTACTTATAGATAAAATTAAGTTCATTCATTCATGTATTTACGTATTTACCGTTTACGCAGCTAACCTTCCAATTTGTTTTTAGTAAAGATTAATTCTTTAAAAACAATTTCAAGTATCCCCTAACCCCAAATAAACACTTAACACATGATAAAAACTAGTATATATAAATGCTTTCCTAGCTCCATAAGATATAAACACTACAACAATGAAACTATTCATTATCACACTTTTGGCTACTGTAGCCACAATTCAGGCTTCGCCTTTAAATGCGAGCTGCACTGTTACCTCCTACTCCGGAGTAGCTGCAGCTCTACAAAGCTGCACCGCGTTGATACTGAAAGATATAACTGTCCCAGCTAAAACTACTCTGGCACTGAAATTGAAAAGTGGAGCTTCTTTGACGTTCGCTGGTACTATCCGTTTCGCTGTTGCTGCATGGGCAGGACCTCTGATTGAAATTAAAGGAGCCAAGGTTACGGTTAATGGTGCTGGAGCCACTTTGGATGGAGACGGTAAGACAATTGGAACTAGATACAATTTAATAAATAAAAAATATTTTCAACTATTGAAGACATGAGTGGAAGTTACACTGAACTTTAACAATAATGATATGGTTTGAAAAATATCTGCGTTCCTCTGGATACTCTCACAATAGTTTTTTTTTCTTCTAGGTCCAAAATACTGGGATGGAAAGGGCGACAACGGAACCGTAAAACCCAAATTTCTCAGAATAAAAACCACTGGTGGATCGACTGTCAAAAACATCAAACTTTTGAATTGTCCCAAGCAATGTGTCTCGATCAACAGTGCAAGCGACACAGTCTTGGACAATTTCAACATTGATGTTTCTGCAGGAGACAAAGGCGTAAGTTCATTTTTTTCATTATATTATCAATCATCAATTCTTTTAACCGATTATTGATTACAGGCTTTGGGTCACAACACTGACGGTTTCGACGTATCCAGCTCTTCAGGCATCACGGTCCAAAACAGTATAGTCAAGAACCAAGACGATTGCGTGGCCGTTAATCAAGGAAGCAACTTCATTTTCCGCAACTTGACTTGCTCTGGTGGTCACGGATTGAGTTTGTCCGTCGGTCAAGGTTCAGCAAGCGGTTCCCCGAACACCGTTAAAAATGTAGTGTTTTCTGACTGTACCGTAATGAACTCAGATAATGGTATCCATGTCAAGACCCACTCAGATGCTGGTACCGGTTCTGTGTCCGACATCACTTACAAAAATATCAAATTGTCTGGCATCAGGAAGTATGGCATCAACGTACAAGAGGACTACGAAAAAGGTCATTCCTCTGGAACACCGAAAGGCAACATTCCAATAAGTAGATTAACCATGAACTCCATTACTGGTTCTATGACTGGCGCTAAGGGTATGAGTGTTTACGTACTTTGTGGAAGTGGAGGATGCAGTACCTGGTCTTGGTCTGGTGTTTCCATTAAAAATGGTAGCGGAAAGAAGAACTATTGTAACTTCCAACCCACTGGATTTCCTTGCTAGATGAATAAAAATGATAAAAAATATCATATGATTATTTTATTTACCTAATATTAAATTTATTTTATCTTTGCAATGCTGAGACTGAGTTGGTGTCCAACTTAAAACACTTCTGATTTTCGTCACCAATGCCGTAAAACTAGTAATTCAATTATAGATGGTTTCTGAAGTGTAGAAGAAACCTTTTTTGATCTGAGAATTTAGCAGTTCCCAAACATTAGATGAATAAATAAATTTTCTGTATGGCGGTTCTTGTAAAAAAAGATGTTCAAATTTGGCACAGTCGGTTGTTTTCTAAGAGAATAAGGTTGATCAATCGTTTCTGATTGGAATCCTGAAACTTCCCAAAACAGTTATTATTGTGGGTCTTCTTTCAATCAAACTGTACTGGATTCTGCCTGATGAAGTATCCCTGAAGTTGTTGGTGATAATTTCTTAATTATGAAAAATCCAAAACTTCTCAGTAACAGTGACTCCTTTTTGTCGCATTTGTAGAGATTGTGGCCAAACTTTTGAGTCTTTAAGTCTAACTGTATATGTTTGTACTAGGTGGAATATAGGTTGGCGGTGTACTGTTTTTGACTAACACTGGTCTGATTCATCGTCACTATCTATATTTTTTTCATTAATTTGTGATGATAGCGTGCGAGTATGATAAAAGTTCTCAAATTCTGTTGCGTCAAAAGTTTCCTCGAAATTTTCCAAGACACTATTTCGTGGGTCCCATATGTCTTTCAAAAATATCAGCAGACTCACTCAAAATGTTATGTTATTTTTTTTTTTTAAGAAACAAACCCACTAACCTCCTTTAACCTATGATTCCTATCCGGTATCTCTATGATTCGGTACTTCTGGGAATTATCCCACTTTTGAAAAAACTGTAGCTAATTCTTAACTTAAATGGTCTCGAAAAAAATTAATCAAACAGATCACGTCCACTCATGTTTCAATTTATCTCTCTTTCTTTAAAAATTTGAGGACATTTTTCATATCATTCAAAAAAACATAAGAATATAATTAATAATAAAATCTACTCTGACAACTATTTTCCAGCATCCCTGATACCGCAACCCACTACACTATTAACAGCAACCCTCTAATAACTCCCAAATTTCCCGCTAGGGTGTTTCTGACAACCTCAATGCTGACAACACAAGAAATAGGAATCTATTACAAGTTGTGAAAAAATGTTGTACTACAATATTCAATAAAATAATCAGATCATATTTATTCATCTAACAAGAAAATCCAGTAGGTTGGAAGTTACAACTGTTTTTCTTTCCGCTATCATTTTTAATGGAAACACCAGACCAAGACCAGGTACTGCATCCTCCACTTCCACAAAGTACGTAAACACTTATACCCTTAGCGCCAGTCATAGAACCAGTAATGGAGCTCATGGTGAATTTGCTGATTGGAATGTTGCCTTTCGGTGTTTCAGAGGAATGACCTTTTTCGTAGTCCTCTTGTATGTTGATGCCATACTTCCTGATGCCAGACAATTTGATATTTTTGTAAGTGAAGTCGGACACAGACCGGTACCAGCATCTGAGTGGGTCTTGACATGGATACCATTATCTGAGTTCATTACGGTACAGTCAGAAAACACTACATTTTTAACTGTGTTCGGGGAACCGCTTGCTGAACTTTGACCGACGGACAAACTCAATCCGTGACCACCAGAGCAAGTCAAGTTGCGGAAAATGAAGTTGTTTCCTTGATTAACGGCCACGCAATCGTCTTGGTTCTTGACTATACTGTTTTGGACCGTGATGCCTGCAGAGCTGGATACGTCGAAACCGTCAGTGTTGTGACCCAAAGCCTGTAGTCAATAATCGGTTATAAGAATTGATGATTGATAATATAATGAAAATGAACTTACGCCTTTGTCTCCGGCAGAAACATCAATGTTGAAATTGTCCAAGACTGTGTCGCTTGCAGTGTTGACAGTCGATCCACCAGTGGTTTTTATTCTGAAGAATTTGGGTTTTACAGTTCCATTGTCGCCCTTTCCATCCCAGTATTTTGGACCTAGAAACAAATAAAAACTATTTTGTGTATCCAGAGGAACGCAGATATTTTATCAACCATATCATTATTGTTAAAGTTCAGTGCAACTTCCACTCTTGTCTTCAATAGTTGAAAATATTTTTTGTTTATTGAATATTATCTAATATAATGATCTAGTTCTAATTGTCTTATCTTCTCCATCCAAAGTGGCTCCAGCACCATTAACTGTAACCTTGCTGCCTTTAATTTTCATCAGAGGTCCTGCCCATTCAGCAAAAGCGAAACGGATAGTACCAGCGAACGTCAAAGAAGCTCCAGTTTTCAAATTCAGTGCCAGAGTAGTTTTAGCTGGGACAGTTATATCTTTCAGTTTCAGTATCAACGAGATGCAGCTTTGTAGGGCTGCAGCTACTCCGGAGTAGGAGGTAACAGTGCAGCTCGCATTTAAAGGTGAAGCCTGAATTGTGGCTACAGTAGCCAAAAGTGCGATAATGAATAGTTTCATTGTTGTAGTGTTTATGTCTTACGGAGCTAGGAAAGCATTTATATATACTAGTTTTTATCATCTGTTAAGTGTTTACTTCGTGTTAGGCGATACTTGAAAGTGTTTTCAAAGAATTAATCTTCAATAAAAACAAGTTAGAAGGTAAGCTGCGTAATAGGTAGACAGGAAATACGTGGATGAATAAACTAAATTTTATCTATAAGTAGGTAGGTATATTTTTCCATGTGATTATTTAAATTAATAGAATATGATATGTATTCAAGAATTGTTATTTCCCATAGTACAACACTTGAAAAGTTTTGAGCCAGGGAACAGAGGTCAAGGAAAAAGTACACCATATCAAAAGTTGAGCCAATTTATTTATATTTGTGGATACTAAAGTTAGGATTTTTCCTTCAAACTTGCCAGAGCAAAATAAACTACGTCTCTCAGTTTAGAAACACCTAAGATTCTAATATTTTTCTTTTGGACTCGAATCCTATTTTCCAAACTTATAACAATTTAAAACTGCCATACTACCTAGAAATGTTGCAAATTGGAATTCAAAATCAGGCATAACTGTATATGTTTCTACTGGAGGTGGAATATAGCTTGGTGGTTTACTCTTTTTGACTAAAGGGCCCCATACACTACGGTTTTCATCGCCACGGTGAAACACGTCGTTCTAAAACGGAAGTGTGTAATAGAAAAACACGACGGTTTTCTACAGGGCCCCACAGACTACGATGAAACACGACGGTTTTCATCGCCACGAGAAAACACGTCGTTCCAAAACCGAAGTGTGTGGTAGAAAACCGCCGTGTTTCATCGTCGGTTTAAAATTCACTCTGAGCTTGATTTTTGGCACGACGGTTCAACATTTGGTACACACGAACGGTTTTCTACCACAAACTTCGGTTTTGGAACGACGTGTTTCCTCGTGGCGATGAAAACCGTCGTGTTTCATCGCAGTCTATGGGGCCCTTAACATTTGCATAATTGTAGCGTTCTGCTGCATCAAATTGTTCATGGACATAATCAATGCATTTGTATCAATATTGGCAGTACCTATTCTTTGGGCTTGTTTGAAGTTAGAGATGCATTATCTGTTGCAGTACCTGTATTGTTCCTGAAATCCTGTTGGTCTGATTCATCGTCACTATCCATATTCTTTTCATTTATTTGTGATGATGGCATTCGGGTATGATGAAAATTCTCAGTGTTTCTGCTGATATTTTGGGAAGACATATGGGACACCGACGAACGACACAATAATTTCGACGTAACAAAATTTGAGAATTTTCATTATACCCGAATGCTATCATCACAAATAAATGAAAAAAATATGGATAGTGACGATAAACCAGAAAAGGATTTCAGGAACAATAGGTACTGCAACAGATAATGTAAATGCATGGATTATCTCCATGAACAATTTGATGCAGCAGAATGCCATATTAAGCAAATGTTCGAGAAGGGGGTTTGGAAGTACACCAGAGAAGTTGAAGAAAAGGCAGATTTTGTGTAAAGGTGTTATATTCATCACACTACAAAAAATGTAGTATACAAGCTCAATTGTAATGACTGCAATTGCACTTACATTGGCAAAACTACCCGAGCCCTGAACACTAGAATCAAGGAGCACATAAACAGACCAAGTAAATCAGTTTTCGGACATCACTTACAATTCTCCAAACACAACTTCTCGCCAAATTCTAATAGCGAGATAGTCCATGAAATGAGAAATGGTAACGCCCGTAGAATAGATTTCTTGGAGGACTTGGTAATCAAGAGGGAGTCCGCAGGAAACCCAGACTGTCTGAATCTGAAGATGAACATCAATAACGACAAAAACCCTATTTTCAAACTCTTCACTTTAGAGTAATGAAATTTGGTGGCGTTTTGCACCGGCTTTTCTGGTTGGGACTCTGGAGTTGGGTATTCCCCGAACTGACACTTTCCTTTGTGAACCTGTCATTTTGGCGAGTGCTTCGCCGCTGGGTTTTTTTCCTGGTTTGGTCGTGCGGGAAGTGACCATGCAAGACCGTTGGGGTGTTTTCTTCCCCATCACTCGGTGGTCTTACTCTTCAGCTGCACTTTTGTTTGTACTGTTGATTCTCGAGTGAGAGTCGAGAAAAAAGAGGAAGAGAAGGAATCATAAAATTTCAAGTATCCCCTAACCCCAAATAAACACTTAACACATGATAAAAACCAGTGTCGGACTGGCCCACCGGGCAACCGGGCAAAATCCCGGTGGGCCAGATGACGTCTTCGACAGGTGGGCCATTCGAATATTTATAAAAATAAATTAAAATATCTCATTCTCCACGCCATTGATCATCAAATCATACGTTATTTCGCGTAATCCACCGTCCTCGTGAAAAATTAACTACCTATCTATCATATCAATATCATTTCCCTTCTGCTCTGAAAAAGTTCAAGCCGAAGTCCATAGAGAAATATAATAGTAGTAAACTACGAGAGAAGTCATTCCCCTGTACTTAACTGGCACAATGTCGACGTTAGCGCCTCTGGTGGCTACGGACAGCAATAAAAGAGTGAACATTGTTTAAATGCAGGTTTCTTCTTTACCGACAGTGAAAAGGCGGCTTTTTTGAATAATTACACGCTGTGTCTAGAATCCCGGTACCGGTAACACATTTTTTACCGGTAGTTTTGATGCCGTCACCCATATGACGCACTAGGTACCCCGGATTTAAGCAAATTCCGGAAAAAAATGTAGTCGTTGGCAGTTTTTGTTTTATCAAAGACCAACTTAACCTAATTTTTTATGTTTTTAACTTGTTTTGTTGATGTGTGATCGTAAAGTGGAGTGTTTTCGTGAGTTTATCAACGTGATATTACTTTTAAAATAATTTTAATGTAGGACAAACATTTAAAACTAAAAGTTATAAAGAAGTTGAAGAGACTTTGACATTGACATGTAAAATGTGCCAGTTTGTTTAAAATACCCAAAATGTAGTATTTTTCTGATTGCAAACTTATAAATAAAAAATGAGAGATATTATTAATTTTAATTTACATCCTAAACAGTATAGTTACATACATGTATATTGGCTTGAAGTAAATTAATAAATATTAAATTCTATTATAAACTGCTAAGTATATAAAGTGACATCATTTCAAATTTGTTTAAATTCTCAGGGGTTTTCGGAAATAACAACCCTAGTTCACTATCTTCTGATTGCAGATTACTTCTAATCTGGGATGAGTTGTTCGACATTTCCGAACGCAAATCATTTATATAAGGTATTTCGAACCTTAACTAACTGTTATAGTTTGAATTGTTTCAAAAAAGTGACGAAAACATTAATTAACTAACCTAAAATACCATTCAGCTGATAAATAACGATAAAAACAAAATCAAAACACCGGGATTCACTTAAATCCCGGTACAAGTGCGTCATATCGATGACGTCATCTAAACTACCGGTAAAAAATGTGTTACCGGTACCCGGATTCTAGACACAGCGATAATTAAATTATTAACTTTGATTTTAATTAAGATTTATTAAAAATAAACGCTCTAAACAGTTAATTGCAAAACAAAACATTTGTTGAAAAAAACTTACTAAAATTTACCGAGCAACTGTTCAGAACGATAACAGAACTTATTTTAAAAAAATCCAAATTAGATGCAATGAGATTCCTTAAGGGGGTCAAGGAGGTAATTGAACAATACAAAAATTGAGATATCTTCAAACAATAGTATATTACAATCCGAGACGGGAAATGCTTCATTACTGGTCGAGAGGTTTTATAGTTTATCGAGACGCGTAGCGTCGAGATAAACTGAACCTCGAGACAGCAATGAAGTTTCCCGTCGACGGTTGTCTACTATTTTATTTTTAACCATAATTTCTTGAAAAAAAATAAATTCGGGGCAACCAAATGAGGTCGGCAAATGAAGAGGAAAATGAGAACGGGAAATATTTCCCGTCCTCACTTCCCGTCCTGGGACAGGTAATGGAGCAGGAAAATGAAAAGACAGAAATGTGACATTTTCAAATTTTTGAAAAGTCAGTAATGACAACATTTCATATATGGTTAAAAATAAACTTATTTTTTTATTCCAATTTTATAAATATACAGTAACTAAAAATGTTTGTATTATAAGCTTTGTGTTTACCTTTTTACTGCATCTCGCATCATCGCAAATTCGAAAACACACTATTATTGATGTCGGTTTTGTCTAATTAATTAATATTTATGATCACAGAATGTTTTCTCATTTCTCTAATATAATAATAGAAGAAATTTTAAGTTATGATGACGAGCATTCAGTTTTTGATTGACGGTCTTCGGATTCAATCATAGACGATTCAATAATAATTTGTCAAATTTTGACAATTTCGTATTTTGTATGTGTTAAAAAAAGATAGAACATTTTCGGGCAAGTTGCTGACAAAGATAAATTAAACCGAGTTGTCAGAAACGATCGAAGTAATTAGTTCAATAATCTGCCACACCATGCGAAATACGTTACGGGTATGTGCACAAACACACTTCCAGATTGTTACATTAAACAAACGTCTCCCGTAGTTTACTACTATTATATTTCTCTATGCCGAAGTCGCGTAGAAATCGCCCGTCGCATATAAGTGAATTTGAAATCAGCTGTACCCGTTGTTGATTTTTAGAAATACAGAGACAGGGTAGTGAATTTGTGAAAAAAACCACATCCTCACATTGGTTTTGGTTTTGATTTGTTTGTTTTTATATACCGGGTGGGTGTTTCACCGGAAACAGTCAATGGCCTATATCTTGAAAACGGTAATCGATGAAAAAAAAGGGAAGTCCGTTTGGAGGGTTGGAAGGGGGGAACCAAAACAAGGTACTTTTCAGCTCTCCCGGAACCACCCCTTCCAACGGTAGCCACCCTAACCTAAAAATTTTAAATGGCCCTACTATGGGTATAAGGATGATACATACTACTACTGTTATACAGGATGGCCTATCCTCATAAGGTCGCATGATCTTTTGTCTCACTTCAAATGGGA